ATGGCGTGGAGAGTGTTGTGATGGCATTTGTTCTTTTTTCACGTATTTGGGAGAATGTTCCTATTCCTATTCCACTCAAATAAAAATAGCAAGTTAAACCCGAACTAAATTGTTTATTACCTCGACTTGATTGGTTGACGAGTGGAGAGGGGTGTTGTAGTACGACTCGTTTTGACCCACTCGAATGCTGGCTTCAGATTTGATCCCGGCTTCGTGCTTAGTTTCGCTGTTAGTCGAATTTGGGCATCCTGTGGACTGATAACTTATTTTGCTCGTTAAGATCTCAGGTTCGAGTTCTGGTCTGATCCAGCTCCGGGTGCACAAAAATAAGGCGAACACAAGTCATACCGCAAACACAAGGGTAAGGTAAACTTGTTATTTCAAAGAATTACACAACAGACTATCATTCCTTCCTAAGAGAGAGAGGGCGGCGTGCATAAAGTATAGATTGGTATCTACCGTTAATATAGCAATAAGATGGTGGACGTGCTTGGTACATAGTGGCCGTAATCCTATTTTGACAACTCACGCTCGAAACATACCAAACTCACCCCCTCAGCTAGACATGGATTTCGTGTAGATATCAAAATATAATTTTGATTTCGTGCAAAGATCTAACCTCAGTTTGTTCGGTTATCTCAAGAGCTTTCCTACAAGTTTCTCGAGTTGGTGTTTGTAATGAGAAGGCGAGGCTACGAAATCCGGGAAGTAGGACTTTGACTAACTTTAGATCTAGAGGAAACTAAAATTTTGGCTAGAAAATCCCAACAACGGCGCCAAATTGTTCGATCAAAAAGTGTTAACCTTTTTTATTGAACTAATTAAATAAGAATATTTGAGGTAAATCCTATCCAAAGATAATTTATCATAGATAAAAAGATAAGAATAAGCAAACATAACTGAGTATGAGATTTAACTATAATAATGATTGAATCCCATAATATAAGAAAAGGATGATGATTTTCATAATATTAAAGGATAACAAAAAATACATAGGTAAAAAGGGTCACCGTTCTTGAACAAGGTTGACCCCCTATATACTTCGTATAACACAACTAATGATGGATATTGGGGATCTAAACTTCCGAGGATCTAAGCTTCCTTTCTTCTTTTTCCTTGACGAGGAACCAGAGATGAAGATCTCCCTTCATCCGTAAAGATATGTCTATATGTGTGTGTGAGAGAATTTTTTGGTGTTCCCCCCCTTTAGTTACCCTTTCCTATGGTATTTATACAAGAACACTTTCCTTACCCAACGGTCCTTAACCGGAGTTCTTAAATTCTTGGAATATCCTGTGGAATATTCCTCTAAAAATGTCTGAGGGTTGAATTAGTCGTTCAGGCAGAATGAAGTGCTCAACCTTGACCGCAGCCGAATCACCTGTTAGTGTATTGCTTCTCATACGTGACCTCGGCTTGGTTAGTTATTGGTCGTCATCCCTTAAGTAAGATTCTTCTATTCAGATTTCGACCTATACAGTAGACACGAATCACGAACAACCAACAATGACAAATAATGGCATGAACATACATAACATGGGCCGGCAAGGCTATCATGAAGCTAAATATAAGGTAGGGGTCGACAAGTTTCCATGAGAGACTATACAACAAAAATCAGCTGGCAAGGCTATCCAAAATATACATGATTCGACACCTGCCTATGAGCCTCTAAAGGAGCATAAGTGATGCAATATTGTCGTAACAGGGAAACCTACTATGGTGGGGGAGCTTCGTCTACCTGCAGCGTCCACAAATAAAAGAGATGTCAGTACGGACAAAGTATTGAGCATATAAGGCAAGAAACATAAATAAGAATAGTAATGTAAAGAGGGATAGAGAATATACAACCTGTAACATCTGAGTGCCTCTAATGGCGACTGACATGAAATGCATGATATATATATACGACTCCGTGGGCAAAATCATCATCATATCGTACCCGGCCTCAAAGAGAACTCGGTAAAAATGAACCCGGCCATTATAAGGCTCGGTAGAATCGTACCCAGCCACATGGAGCTCGATAAAACCCAATTGATCTGTGGTTGCACAATAGGTGTCGTACCCAACTGACTATAGCGCGGCTCGGTAGAGTAAAATAGGTACATATATATAATGCATGCTGGATTCATTGGAATCACATTCTAAATCTTTTGAAGTAACGTAAGGTCGGTATCATCCATACACGTTATTAGGACTAACTCTTTATCATGAATATTATAAGAATCAGAAAGTACCACCAACATTGATAACATAAGAATAAGAGAAGCAACATCAACCTCAATCGTTCCATAAGAAGGGAAACAATGTAAGTATTTCTAACTTCTAAAAGTTGAGTATCTTTGGAAGCTCGTTCATTACCTTATGTACAATCAGACTCGTGCAAAAGAAGGAAAGAGATAGCCTCACATACCTTATATATATTGCCCAACCTCAAGTTATGCAAATTCCACGACTCCTTAGTCTACAATAAGAGAAATGATACTATCATTATCGTTTATGTATCGTAACTATTATATATCGACCACAACCTATTTTACGATGAAATGGACAGAACCTCCCCTATTTATATGATTTCCCAAAAGTTAAAACAATCACCAAACATCCCAAATAACATCAATAATAATCACATTAAGCCTTTCAAAACAATTTAACAATCCCGACGAGCATCAAGCTATGTTTGTGACTAAACAATTATAGTTTTAAACCCCTTCTTCCTTCAATAATTTATCAACAACATTAACCGCCACATATTCAATTATCCCTACTAATTTCCATCCATAATACAACTTTAAAACGACCCCATAACAGTACCACAAGTTTAGCAACTCAAAACTTATTTTTTCAGATTAATAAAATACGTTTCCGACTTGTCTTTTCTTTCAAATTGAGCAACACAACCAACAATATGTAATTAAGATTCTTATCACATAAAAAATCCATGAATTCAACTTAAAATTAAGTTGCAACCAGCCAACTGTGACGCCACAACAAACAGCATAGTACTCTTTCGAAACTTGCAAGTTCTAGTCTTTACAACCGAGCTACAACTCGTAGATGCTTAGATGAGGGAAAGAGAAGCATAAACTTACCTTAGAATAAGTAGAACCCACAAAACCTAGTCCTTCTTCATTTAAAAACAGTCCCCCAACGCTGCTACAAGAAGGAGAAAGGGAAATTAGTAAGCTGTCCGGGTTTTTCGGAACTAGGATCACGTGGTATCACCCGAAATCACCTAGGCTTTGTGTGAAATTTTTGGGAGAGGAGTTGCAGGGTTTCAATCTGAAGTTCTTAGTCTGAAATATGAGTGGAATAAATGATTTAATCCAGCCTTTAAAACGCCCCTTGGCCTCCCCTTTTTGGGGATTTATTTGGTCCCTTCATTTAAACAAGTAGGTGACACACCTACTTGCCACCTACTAGTCTGTGCAGTCTTGCGAAAATGCAAATATCTCTATACTCCGATATTGTATCGACGAATGGTTTAATGAGTTAGAGCCTAGACTCGTAGATCTTCAATTTGGTAGGTGGATCACCCCGTAATTCCAAGTACATTAAGATAAAAGCTTAGTAACATTAGACCTAAATTTTAAGTAAAATTATAAACGTAAGTTGCGACAACTTTTGTCGACTTTTATTTCATAACTCGCTTGACTTCAAGACTTATGATACGGATATTATATGATTCAAATACCTTAAACACAACCTCCTTAGCATATTAAGCACCTCTAGTTTTACTCGAAAATATGGGTTACAACATCCTTTGATTTGTTTTATTTCTAACTTTTAATACTTGTTAACCACTCTTATACACCCTTGTATCATTTAAGACCAATAAGATTAACTTCTTATTATCTCAAAGATAATCTCTTCTCGGATTTACATTGACTAACTTACGGCGTAATTTAACGTACACGAATATAGGTTATAACAATATAAGAAAATAAGTATAAAAATTCCATTTCATCATATGTTATTATTGAGATGTCTTTCATGGGCAGAGTTTTGGGGCAGCTGTTCAAATACAGTTAGTGTCTGAAAAATTTATACATTATAACCGCCTCCAATTAATAGCCGGTAAAATATATTTTTATTATTAAAGTATATTTAATATACTTATAATATATAATTTATAGATAATTAATATATATTTTTAACTAGTGATTGTTAGTGGCGGACCTAAAATTTTGTGCAAGTGAGTTCAGTTAAAGATGAGCATACCTAATAGTATAAGTGGTGTCAGGTATGACAAGCGGAGTTTAATCATTTTATTATCCTTTTTTGTTCTTAATCATTTGGAAGATGTCCCGTGTGGATTCGAACCCAGCATCCCTTGGTGATTTTGAACCCGCTCGACCACCTCCACTGGGAGGACGCTTGTGTCAAGCGGATTCAAACTAATTTTTATACTAGTAATTTATTTGTTTTAAATATAATTTATCAGTATATACAGTATAATTTTTTAATAAAGCAGGTCCATCTCCGACGGCTATAATTATTTTTTATCAACCCACTAAATGTATATAGTTATCACATAGAGGTAAAACTAGAGATCAAGCACGTGCTGACCACGGGCCCAACGTAGTGCTTGTGATGTAGTAGCTTATAAGGAAATTCAAATTACTGCAAACAAAAGCTAATTCAAATGGACTTACAGAGCTTAGTGTTTTCCTTTTTTATTTTATTATTTTTATCAGAGTTGAGCATTTTCAAGTCTGTTGTTAAGTTTAAAGACTCTTGGATAGAGATAGTACATCTATATTTTACAAGATAAGGTTTTGTACCTATAAACTTAGCATTGGAGTAAACATAATAAACAATATCATATCCAAGCGATTAGTTCGCATAAACAATGTTCTTTAAAAAAACAAACTCTTTTCAGATGCCTTTTCACCTTCTAGGCTCTAGCGGGCAAAGGATATTCCTACGGCCATCGGGTATGACAGGTTTTGAGACAACACTATCATCAACAACAACAACAACGACTCAGTATAATCCCACAAGTGGGGTCTGGGGAGGGTAATATGTATGCAGACCTTACCCCTATCCGAAGGGTAGACAACACTATCAAGATGGACTAATTTTCCTTTCAGCTCTATTTGCATGGAGCCAACTCATCTTTCACATCCAACTAAAAGATATATCTGCTCTGATGGTACCTGCAAACATGGATGTTTTAAATTATCAGTCATTAGATTAGTACAACAATGAGTTAAAACTTTCATCATACAAAGAAACATCTTACTTATGAAGCGTGATAAGTTTCTCCATAAAGTACACAAATTTGATGTAAATTCACAAGGCCCCTCTCATGGCCTATGGACAAAATCTAGTAGAGTTTATCTAATACTGATATTGAAAGTAGAAAAAGAATAATAGTCAACATTAATTTAAATCAAGATAAAAATAATGATGTTTCATTTTCTATATTTTAGATAAGGGATTTCACTTGTAACAACATTAATTAAAGTCAGCATCCTTTTGATATATTCACATTCACTATAATTACAAAACTGGATACCTAATTCATAATTTGATGATGACGATGGTTTATATTTTGAGCTTGTAAAACTTTTGAGTGGCTCCAACAACAAATTCAAAGTATTTGGTCCCTTAAGCATCAGAATTTGGAGAATCTAACTTCTGAACCCTACTGTATAACAACTTAGAGGTCTTAGACATGCATAGCAAAAGAAGGAGCAGGGTAGTTCAACAAGCTTTTTCACTTCAATCTTTTCTCGAATCAGCTCTTTTTCTTGCCAACTTAATGGAGCTTCTAAAGCTTCAACCTAGTAAAAATCCAACACAACAAAATATACTTCTAAAAAGAAGAGAAAATGTTACCAGGAATTTTCAACAACAAAAACTGTCTATACTGAAAATTTTATTGAGCATAAGAGCCACTAAGTCCAAGAAAGTTCTTATTTTCTTTTATAAGCACAGAGCTTTCAGCTCTACGTGTGTTTTTCTTTTTTCTTCCGCAAGTGGGACTGTAGTTATCAGAATACTAAAAGTCAAAGTGATGAAACTAAAAGAAAAAAAGTTGAAAGGAGATTAAAAAGCTAAAGATAAAAACTTATTAGCATAGGATAATCTTCCAGTCAAAGCTTTAAAATTCACCTAAAATGACTACCAACATAATAAGATGATCTTTTAGGAGTAATTTACTACTGAAATAGTCCATTAAAAAAGTTAAGTTTTCCCAGGTATCACCCTTCTACGACATTAAATAAGATTGAGGAAAACCACAAAATACAATAAGATAAACATATGACCTACTTTTGAGAATATAGCATAATGCATCTGACACTATAGAGACAAAAATACTGCAGCTACAAGCTAGTAACTATCCTTGAAGAAATCGAGCAGAGAACCTTCGGGATATGGGTTGGAGTATACCAACATTTGAGATGTAATTAGCTGAGAAGTTTTTTTTCTAAGAAAAAGGTTTTCTAAAGGAATGTGTCCAATAGAGCTATGAGAAATCAAATACAATATAGAATCAATTACTCAATAATAGATTTCTTAACATTGAAAAGTAAGACCCTAACGAAAGTTTGATTCATTTTCAGATAATCATGCAATCACAAATTTAGGAAGTCATTTAAAGATAGGTCAAATTATAAGAAGTCATGTTTAAAGATCTCAAATTTATAAGATTATAGTCAAAAGAAATAAAAAAAGGGCTTAACCAACTCTTAACAGGAAGCTACAAAAGGCCTTTCAAAACACATCATTGGAACGTATTGTTATTTGAGCACGAAAACATGTATCTGCAAAAGCCAAATAATTGGAACGTATCACATTCACATGCCAACAAATGTATCATTATTCCCTAATATTGAAAAATAAAAAAGTCAAATTTACCCTACAATAATTTTATTTCTTTTTCAACTCTCTTTCATGAGAGACAATAAACAAGTTGTTGCTATTAATTGTCAACTAATCCATCCTCTTTGAATAAAAAAAATATTCATATCCAAGTTATGCAAAAAGAAACAACATAATAATATTATGAAGCATCAAAATATTGCTATTGCACTCCAGCACTAATATAGTACTATTGCAATATTTGGGTTAAAAAAATTCCATTTCAGTTAGCAGAAAATTTCACTGGGTCGAGGGTCTCCTGGAAACAGCCTCTCTACCCTTCGGGGTAGGGGTAAGGTCTGCGTACATATTACCCTCCCCAGACCCCACTTGTGGAATTATACTGGGTCGTTGTTGTTGTTGTTGTTGTTAGCAGAAAATTTCACTGGGTCGAGGGTCTCCTGGAAACAGCCTCTCTACCCTTCGGGGTAGGGGTAAGGTCTGCGTACATATTACCCTCCCCAGACCCCACTTGTGGAATTATACTGGGTCGTTGTTGTTGTTGTTGTTGTTAGCAGAAAATTTCACTCATGAACGAAAATTATAAACATAGTATTAGACAATTTTCAAACCAAGGATTAAAAGGAAATGACAAATTCAAGCTTAACAAATAGACAAAGCATCCTAACAAATCAGATTTTGTCCACTAAGTATTTGAAGGTGACGTCGCTCAATATGAATAATGTCAATAAATACACTTCAAAAGAAATCAAAGATCAGACATCAAAAAACACAAAATCCTAAACCAGAAAGCCTTGTTTCAAGAAACTACCTGGAATAAAAGATTTTGCTAGCCTGGTTACATGAAATACAAATAAGTATTTGAGATACTTTTCCTGCTTTATTAATCTTCCCCTGCAATTACATATAGCATAAAGGAAAAGGTTTAAAACAAAGAGGAGTAAGAGAAAAATTCGAAATTAGCTAATTCCAGAGCGAGAAGAGAAATTGACCAATATATCATTAAAAAGATAATTATTTCTACCTAACCAAATTTTCTCTCTATTTTTCGCACAGCTGAAAGAGTTTTCTCTGAAAGTGAAAGTGTGAAGGAGAATTGAAGGAGTAGAAGAGATGGAAGAGTCGATGTTTTGAGATTTTCAACTAAGGTTTGAAATTGGGGTTTTAAGAATTTGTTTATAATTTTCACTTAAGGATATGATTCAAAACACATAAACGTTCAAACTTTTTTAAATATAATCTCTTTGAACAATAACTCTTTCTACCAAACATTAAAAAGGTAGTTTGGCAGAAACAACCTCTTTCAAATACAATAGCCCATATATTTCAGCCATAATATGTGGAAATCTATTTGGAAAAATGTTGAAAGAAAATCAGATCTTGAAATTTAAATTCATATACTCAATGATTACTTGTGTATGATACTCTCCTCAAATAAAAAAATTTAATATTAGCAATTAAAAATTAAAGTAATAATACATATATTTTCAATTTGCTATGATTAATGATAAATATGTGTACAAAAGACATGCATGTCTTGAATTTTTATACCTTGGGGTACATATAAATTTTTATTTCTATTAAAAGAGATTTATGAGAGACAAAAAAGCTGATTAAGAAAAGGGAAAATCATCTAAAAAAGATTGACTTTTTTCAACATAAAAATCTACTCTTCTGAAAAAGTTCATGTGACTTCTTTTTAAGGAATAACTTCTGAAATTTCTTTTTACAACTTTTAAGCTTCTCATACTCATATCTATTAGTAGGTAATTTAATTATATAACCAATTTTTTGAGTCCCATGTCTGATTCGATCTATGTAAAAAATAGTAAACATCAACGTTTCATTAGAATTGTCCTCTATCTAAGTCCAAAAAGGAAAAAACAAAACAAGAATCTTCTTCATTATCATATAAATTGAGGAACCAGACAATAAGAACATCAAAATAAGTTTATCCTAAAATGGGTCTAATTCTCTAATGTAGAGATTCCCATATTAGTAAATCTTAACTGGAAAAATCCAAATGTTCTTAGCCAAAAACCTACCAAACAAAAACAAATTAAACAGTCTACCCTTTGTTATTACAACAACGACGATTTTCAGCATGAAATCGAAAACTTTAAAAAGAAAGAGAAGAAGATTAGGGGAAAAGTACACTGACCTAGATGAAAAGAATGAAACGCAGAGAGATTCTTCAGAGTTATGTTGGTAATTATAAGTAAATTATTGTGTAATAGCCTAATAGGAGAGGAAAGTGAGGCAATTCTAAAATTTCCTCAGGTTTATGTGTAGGAGATAAGGCCACGTAGTTATAGGTTTAAAAAATAAAATGGCAGGGTAAAATGACAATTATACCCATGGTCGACCATCTTTCCTTTTCTATATAATATATATATATATATATATATATATATATTAGACTAGTCGCGGTAAGCCCGTGCTGAGCCCGAGCCCAAATTCAAGACCAAAAAGTAATACATATGATTAAAAAGAAGCAATTTGCATTATGTTTTTAAGTTTTCACCAAATATCTTATTTCTCCTTGTAAAAAAATAATCGTGTGTACTCAAATTATAACCAAGATAAATTTCAAATCCACCGGCACATTTTCAGTCTTATATTTCTTGTGAATCCCGAATTGATATACTATGTGTCATATTTAAGAGATTTACTTAGAACTCGTATCAACACAACAAAGAAGCAAATCTAATTCTCTTATGTTTGAACTCACATGGCTTTAGTTTGCTGATTGCTACCTTCAAAATGCAAGGTAACATTAACGTGGACATCTAGTGGATATAATCAATATAAATCTGGGGGTTCATATTTTTACTTAAAGGTAACAATATCCCATATATTTATGATCAAAATATCTTGTTGATGTTGTATAGATTTTTACTTTTGGACATTTGTTCCTTTGCTTGTGACGACCCAAGGGGTCATCACCGTAATTCTTCCTTGTTCCGTGCTCCCTGGCCTTGAAAACCTCGCTTTTAGTTGCCTCGATTGGCGTGCACAGTTCGGGCGCATAGCCGGAAAGTTTTTATGTTAGAATATGTGAATTATGTGAAACATTTGATCAATTTTGGTATTAATATGCATAATGTTGACTTCGGTCAACATTTTGGGTAAACGGACCCGGACCTATGATTCGACGGTCCCGGAGGGTCCGTAGGAAAATATGGGACTTGGGCGTGTGCCCGGAATCAAATTTCGAGGTCCCAAGCCCGAGAAATGAATTTTTGTGTGAAATTGTTTTCTGAAATTAATTAAGGAAAATGAAGAAGAAAATTGATCAGAAAACTGTGGTATCGGGCTCGTATTTTGGTTCCGACACCCGGTACGAGTCTTAAATATATTTTAAGCACTATCTGTAAAGTTTGGCTAAAAACGGACGTCATATGACGTGTTTCGGACTTAAAATGGGGAAGTTGAGTTTTTGTGAAAGTTGAAAGAAAATCATGTGTTTGAGGCTTGATCCTATGTATATGATGTTATTTTGGCGATTTGATCGCACGAGTAAGTCCGTAAGATGTTTTTAAG